GCCTTGGACACGAGCGACGACTGCCAAAAAGATGAGAGAGAGAGAGAGAGAGAGACAGAGAGACAGAGAGAGAGAGAGAGCCTCTGCGAGAAATCCCGCCCGTTTACCTCGTGGCGGTCGATGGACCTTCGCCCCCAGCAACGAGATGGCGATGACAGGCGGCACGGGAATGATGTCGACGCGACGCTGCGACGACGTGGATAGCGTCCGCCGGTGGAAAGGCATGGAGTCGACGCGATGACGTCAAAGTGCCATTTTTTTCGAACGGGACTGGTCGCACAGTCCCAAAATATTGGAGATTCCCATAAAACCGCAATTCGGGACACCCGCGGGGGGCTGCCGTGCCACACAGCGGACCGGACCACGGACAAACCAGCCCACCCAAACGGACACAAGAAAAAAAAAATAAAAATAGAAAAACGGGCCCCTTCTTTTTCGCGGCAGGGTACGGGCCGACCTCTCTTGCAAACTCGGCCGTTTTCCTAACTTCTTTTTCGGCGCCGTTCATTCCCTGAGCGCCACGAGGACAATCGCTTCTACTCGCGCCGTGAGTTCATGGAGCCGCCTACGACTTCGGAATAGTGTGGGATCCGCGATATTTCAATTTTTTACTTACCGTAAGTAGTGTCGGATGAGACTATAAGCTGGGTGATGCTTTCAGTGACATAGTATTCGGAAGTAAAGTGGGGATGTAGAGGTCCCCGGCCTCTGATTGAACTTTTTTTTTTCCCCCCAAAGGTCAAATTGAGGTCAGAGGGACCATGTCCCGCTTGCACCGTTTAGTGGAGGCAACTCAATGGCGGGACCACCAGTACTTGGCCCAGCTATGAAGTCCAAGCTTTGGCCGACCGGTGTGCCGAGCCGTGCCGAGGCTTGAACTACCGGTTCTTCACTTCCCAGGCCTAGTGCCAGAAAAAAAGGGAACAAAAAATAGAAAAACAAATAGAAAAAGCAAAAAGAAAAAAGAAAAAAGATTTTATTTCTGTTGGCGCCAGAGAGAGGGTGTGTGTGTGTGTGTGTGTGTGAGAGAGAGAGAGAGAGAACCCGCAAGATGGTCGTTGGGCCCGGCG